AAAAAAAGAAAAAAAAAAAAAAAAAAAGAAGGAATGGGGGTGATTGAACCGTGATTCGTGTTTTTTTTTGGTTTGTTTCTTAATAGCACAGAGTCATGGACAAAAAAAAAAAGGAATGTGTATATAGAGCTAGGTTACCTGATAGGACGTCCGGGGGCGAAGTCCCACATGCACCGTTGAACTACAGTCTTCCCCCGAATACAACGTACGGTCATTATAGCTGAATTTTCAGCTATAATGACCGTACGTTGAATTCGGGGGAAGACTGTAGCTCAACGAAATGGTGTGACACGGTTTTTGCGACTTAAAAACTCAAAACAAAGGCAAAATAGGAGAATCAATGCTGCTGAAAGCCTTTTTTTCCCTATTTCCCAAAAAAAACAATGAATAACCGAATGGTATTGAAACCTTTGTCCGTATTTCCTAAAAAGTAAAATGGAAAATACAACAGTCAGTGAAAGGCTCCACATACTACGCAACGTCGGAGACGGGGAGTGACTCACTAGAACATGGAACGAACGTAGACAGTACTCCTGGCTTGGTGCATTCACAGAAACGAGTTATTCTAAAAAGGGAGACTCTGCGGACTATGTTGTTCTGAAAAGGGAGACTCTGCGGACTGTCGAGGGTTCAGCCTCCAGATGAATCGGCGAAAGTTCGACAAAAAAACAGTCCGTTCACGGTCCCCCCTTTCGTGTGCTGTTCTCCCTTTCTGCTTATGCTCATACACGCAGGGCATCGTCGCACGGCACACAAAACGGAAAACGAAACAAATGCATATTCCCACAGAAAATGAACAGGTTCATCCGCTTGCTTTCTGGCTGCTACGGGGTTCCCCGTATGCCTACAATTAGTAGTAGTGGTAGGTAGGTAGGTAGTGTGAGGTGAAATTGAGAGAAGAATATAGGTTTAAAAAAAAAAAAAAAAAAAAAAAAAAAGAATTGTATAGATAGTAATCAATGTATTTTGCCGACTTTCCTGGGTAGATGCACTCGTTTTTGCTTTTGTTTTGTGCGCCTTGTGGCAAGGCCCGTAGGGAAACACGTATCTACGTGAAAGGATTCATATAAGGGAAGGGGAAGTGTAATTAAACCACCGGGTCCATTTACTGGCTGTTTTCTTTTTTTTTTCTTTTCCTTTTTTAAAAGGGCGATGGCCTTGAGATATTATCATTGAGCTGACTGGCCCGAAGCAATTCATTAGTAGTTGATTTTACTCATCAATTTCCATCATCCGGATTCGAACATGGGTCTGCATTTTAACAGTTCATTGGTGTACCCACTGAGCTAGGCTCTTGGGTTTACTGGCTGTCTTGGTCCGATGTGGCGGGTTGAGCCTAGCGGACGCAAAAGGTTGGCGCTCCCAGGCAAATCTTGAGCCCCTCCTCCTCGGCAGCAGGCGTTGACACGGCCAAAAATCTGCATAGGGGTGAAGAGGCTGGGATGGACTGGTGGTTCGAACTTCAAACTTCAAAAGCAGCAAGGAAGAAAACGGGGGGGCGTCTGAAAGCGAGGGGGAGGAACTTATAACAGGGGGGGGCCGTGTGCACGCCTGCAACCACATATGATGGGGCCCCAAGTCGAAAGCAAGGGAAAATGAATCGTAGGGGGTGCCCTTTTGCACCCACCCCTGCACCTAGAAAACAACAAAGGGCTTGGGGGGCGGCATTAACAGGGAAGTTCCATTGCCTGACCACACTTCAGCTCCGGAAACGACGGGCAGAGGAACACTGTATTGCCGCCCCCTGCTGCCACCCATGAGTCTAATGAAACACCCGAGAAGAGAACGGTGGAGGAAGGAATAATGCATTGTTTTCAATGTTTTGAGCCACAGGAGACTAAGTAGCGAGTGAGGTCCAATGTATATATATATTTCCCTTTCGTTGGGGCAACACTGATAGGAAGCATTCTTGATCATTTTACTGCCCATACAAAGGAAACTCTTGGAACAATCGTGCTGACCTCAGCCCTCACGAAAAATCACGCTTGTTGAACGAAAGACCCCCTCGTTGACAAGACATGAGAAAAAAGAAGAAGGTAGTTGAGAACGGTTTCGATTATCATTAAGTATATATATATATATATATCGTCACAAATATAAATATATAGCAGTGCTGGGTTGGCAACCGGCCGGTTGAGCTACGCGGGTCCAACCGGAGCCGGACCAGGCCAGGGGGGATGAACCGGGAAACTGGTTTTGAAAAAAAAAAGTGCCCAAGTATCTTCTTCTTCTTCTTCTTTTTTTTTTTTTTTTTTTTTTTTTTTTTTTTTTTTTTTTTTTTTTTTTTTTTTTTTTTTTTTGGCAGATTCCGACTGCGCTCTTCACAAGCTGTCGGAATCCGCAATAAAATTTTCAGGGTGCATTATTTTTCAGGGGGCTTCCAGAGGGGGGCAGGGGGTTGTTATTGACGTATTCAGGCAACTATGGCTTCCACGGGGGGGGGTCAAGTAAGCAAGTTCACTTATCCAACCCCCCCGTGGCTGGAGCACTTCGTGAAGCGTGTCATTTGATATTGATACCCCACAAGCTGAACCAGATATAATGAGAGGAGGTCCTTGCCAGAAGTTACATCTCTTCCAGAGTATAACTCGACAGCAGAAGAGTTATGGTTCCAGCTTTCAGCTCGTGGAGGCAGAGCGTTTTCTGTTTGTTGGTTTCTACATAAGGTGAGTTATGAGTCCGGAAGTATCTTGCCTGGCAGTCTGGCCAGACACATGTAGTGGACCAAGGTCCATTCGAGATAGATAGAGAGAAGAATATAGCTTAGGTCCATTCTTGGGCTTGCACCTCGGACGGCGCTGACGTCACGATTCTAAACTCTGAACCCATAACTTTTTCCACAGATGTTTCCACAGATGGCAGGGACGTTGCCGAAGGATATAATCTCAGCAGAGCCTCATCACAAGCAATGTCTTCCCCTCGCGGCTGAGGGTGAAAGAGCATCAGATGGCAGGGACGTTGCAGAAGGATATAATCTCAGCAGACGTTGCCAATTGTAACTGGTCCGTTGGACCACAAGATGACAAATTGGAGAAGGGGCCTACCCGACCCACACCTTAAGAAAAATGTGTGGCGGTTCTCAGCGGCTGATCTGCAAAGATCAC